TACCGAATCCGCCGCCGATTCCCCGAATGCTTCGTGGCGAGAGCGGAGAGCCCGACGATGATAGAAATCCCTGCTCGAGTTCGGATTTCGGAAGCTGACCCACGACCACGAGTGGATCCCGAAGGAGAGGCAACAGCTAGAGAGAGAGGGAGAGAGGAAGAGAGATTGAGCGAGTTAGCGAGCGAGCGAGCGAGAAATACAGAGGCTGAGAGATTTCCCGCGCCGAGCGCTTCCTTCGAAGTGTTTTTCGACCGAAAATCTCTGTGCGCGCTCTGTGTTACGGCTCGTTAATCTGAGAACGGCGTATGAGCCCGAAACCAACCGGGAAATCCACCGGTGAATAATCATTCGGCGAATAAATCCAAGTAACCGCTTTCCATTCGTAATTACACGATGATTAAAACTCGGCGCGATTATGTCTTTACGTTCGAGAAGATTTAATTACATTAATTTATATAATCACAGCGATAAACGCGCATTCACTGGCGCGGCTGCTTTCGCGATAATTAGGTCGCAATAATCTGCAATAGCGCACATATATGTATAATTAATTACATATGGAGCGCTGAAACGCGGCTGAAAAGCAGGGAAGTCGCTTTCTCGCAATCGGCAATCGAGTTAAAAGGGACAATCGGAAATGTATAACGCGCGTTCTCGGACCCGCCGATTATTTCCTTTTTCTCATTTAGGATTCAAAGTGAAAAGATCTCGTAAATAACGTCGTTGAATTGGAAAAGGGCGGCCACCGCTGCGGCGATGTCGCGCGTGATACCTGCTTCGGCACTATCGCGCGCTGAGAGAGTCGCCCGGCGAGCAAAGTTCGAGAAGTCCCGTGCACACGGTTGAGCATTCGTCTAACTCGGACGCACCGATGAACCGTCCCGAGCTAAAAGAGAGCCCGTGCACGCGCCGGATAAATACGACAGGTACACGCTCGACATTGACAGCCCAGCTGCGACTGCGACTGGGAACGCGCGCACGAAGTGCAAATGTCACCGCGCCGTATAAACGGTAATCGGTAATAAACGCAATGTGATTAATAATAATTTGCCGGTCGGCATAAGCGGAACCCATTAGCCGGCTTAGCCAAGCGTTATGGTAATAGGGAGCTATTACCCGCCGACTGCACCCTCCCTCACCCTCCCTGCCGTCTCGCTCTCCTTCTCACGCTCTCCCTCTCATCTCGCTCCCTCGTTCTCGTATTCCCGACTGCCTCCTACTCGCAACTCAGCTCCATCCGTCCGTCTCTGTCTGCTTTAACGCACGCCGTCGTGACGGCCAGTCAACTTGAGCATCGACCGGCGTGTTCAATCTTGCCGGCGCTCACTCGGCACGGCCTTCTTCGGCTCCTCGATTTTCCACGTCGATAGGTAAATCTCCTCGAGGAGACGCGTCATAAAGGCGGGATGTTGACGCGACTACGATCCGCCTCGGCGGCGGCTCCCCGAAGCCGCGCGCACTGAGATTCGTGGTGTCTCGCGGCGCGAATCTGCCGTGCGAAGCAACGCACGTAAAATCGACGGATCGGCCGACACCCGAGCGAGAAGAAAGGTTAAAGTACCGATACTTGGACAAGCAACTCCGGACGTTCTTCTTGTTTTGACCTTTAAATGTGAATATTTCAACATTCGACATAAAATATACATGTATATTCAAATGCGTATATTATTCTATGTTGAATATTATATTATATATTACATTATATTGCAAATATTACATTACATTGTATTGAATATTATATTATATTATATTATATATACATATATTCATATATTCATACTTAAAAGGATGATATATTTAAATATGACTGACAGAATACTGATTTTCGTTTTGAAAGTTTACATTATTTGGTTTATATTTATATGTTGCACAGAATTATAAATGCCTTTACACAGTGAAAGTACACGTGAAAATGAATTGGAGCACTGCTTACAGCAGTAGCGAAAATCATGAAAAATTTCAAAGTGACATCTCTAGCTGGTAGTCAGCGTGAATATTTACCTGATAGTGAAATTTTGCAGATTGTACATATCGAATGCATCAATTACATTCCTGCACGTTTATTTTACTACCCAAATAATAAATGTTAGTTTGAAACGAAACCGAAGTAAATATATATATACATATATATATATATTACAAATAGAAAACATTATTTTTGTTTATTAGTGCTATATTTATGCATCAATTAATCTAATAAAGATACATAGATAATAGAAAGAGGTACACAAGTCTTTAAATATGTACATATATCTCGAATATTATTATAAATTATATACATTTTTCAATGTATTTTCAAAACGAAATGGTCAGTAATTCTAAAATTTGTCTACAATATCTACATATTAGTCTTTAATACTATGACTTTAATATACGACTTTTCTCAACTCCTATTTTATATATAAATATGTCAAATCTCGGAGAAATTTATTGTATTATGAGACTTCTATATGCTTGTATACATAATTTTATAATTAAGTATTTCGGATACAATAAAGATTATGGAAATTTCTGTTTTATTAACTTTTGTATCACGTATATATCACAGGTTTATCTTATATTTGGTCAAACGCTCGAACCTCTTTAAGGATGCTGTCCAGGCATTTTATCTCTTCTCGCCGGAGATTTTCCCACGAGGTTGTCTGCTTTTGTACCGATGTAACGGGAGGAACACGATATGTGCGTGTTCGTTCGCTACCCCACGTAGATTGACATGTTCCTTCGACGCACGTTTCTCTGAAATTCCGAAAAACGCTCGCCTTATCCATCTGGTTAACGACGTACGCGCGCAACGCGTAATTAACTCACCGCCAATTAAATCCGTCGACGCGTCGCCTTCGAAAATCGTCCCGACGCCGGGACGTAGACCTACGGCACTCAGGATTCCGCTTGGAAGCTCCGGGCGGAATACTTGCGCGGAATTAGTAATTAAGTAGCGCGGCGAGAGACACAATTCCAGAAGCGGGCCGGCGTGACGGCGAGCGTAATTGCCGGACACTACGATTTCAATTCTCTTCCCCTCTTGCTCTCCTCTCTTCGCCCTATTCTCTCCCCCTCTGTCTCTCTTCCTTATTCTCTCTCCCCCTCTCTCTCTCTCTCGTTCGCTCGCGCACGTGCATACAGGAGAGAGAGATTTGCATACTTTGTATTTTGTATGCCGTGCGCATGCAACACGCGCGACGACATTACGAAATTCGGCCGGGGCGCGCGTTTCCCTCTCGAACGTCGTTATAAACGAGTTACGCTCCGGGTGCCCCGCGAATGTCGTTATGAGTTTCGCGTTTTACCGAGCCGTCGCCCCGCTTGTGAGCAACGCGAGCCCGTGAGATACGCGATATCGGGGGTGATGCCATTTCGCTTACCCGCCCGTCTGCAATTTCTCCGGCGCCGTAAATCAGCGCAATTAGCTGTTTGTCTTGACGTTTCCCGGTTCCCCGTGTAAATCGCAGGTGTTGGCTTAAAGGGGCGAGAGAGAGGGAGAGGACGAGAGTATACGTGTGAGTCGACTCGCGAAATTTTAATCAATCTCCCGGGAAGACGGAGTCACACGCCGACTTGAATAACAGATCAATCATCGATAAAGCGTCCGGCTAACTCTTAGCAGTTTTCTCTGCTCCCCATTTTTTCACTAACCTACAGCGGATATCGATTACGCGAATTAAAAGGCTGCCGGCGGAAAGAGAGAGAGAAAGAAAGAGAGAGAGAGAGAGAGAGAGAGAGACTGTTCGAGTTCACAAAAGCGCGATTCATAACGTCGCGATTATTAAAAGCGTTATGTCGTCGTGGGTATCGCGTAACTCGAATCGCGGCGCAACAGCAGTTGAGAGTCAAGTCGACGCCGGCCGAAGTTTAAGCGCCCGGGCACGAGGTATAAGTAGGCTAATCGGTAGGCGGGCGAAATTTATCGTGGCTCCCACGGCTCGCAAATTTCGCCATAACATTGACACGGCCGGGACGCAGCCGGGCGGAGTTATTAACCGGCGAGCGCCCGCTAACGATACAAGAGCCAAGTAGTTGCTGACTCGTGCTTTCACGCCCTCGATCAAAGCATTACGCCCAAGTGGGGTGTCCCCCACCCCGCGCGAGGCTCTCGCAAGCTCGCTCGTTCGTACACGGAGGACAATAACTTGGCCGACGTATTAGTTGCATCGCTGGCAACGTCGCCACCACGTTCGATCGGCACGCCGTGCACGTTGATTAATCCACTTTGGAACTTGTCAAACTGTTTTCCGGCTGATACGACTGGACGTCAACGCGCGCGATATCGTCGCTTCCGTGCGCCGTCTAACAACCCTGCCGGTGCCGTGCCGGTGGTGACGGTGCCGTCGTAAGAGACGCGTTCTTGCGCGACGTGTGTCGCGTTACGAGCGCTCGTGTATCTACGTGCGCACGGCTATTATTTTGTATTAAATTCCCGTTGGTTAACGTCAGATCCGTTGGTTAACGCCGAGGCAATTTCAGACGTTGCGATACGTATCAGCGGTTTTCGATCCCCGAGTTAGACAATCTTGCGCTGCTTCCAAAGTACACGGTGTACGAATCATTTTTACATCAGCGATGTAACGAGGTATATTCTTCCCCTTTCTTCGTGAAATATTTTTTCCGACACACGTGGATTCGATCTTTTCGCAATGTAATGTATTTGAGCGTTGAAATATGTAATTCGCTTCGCGCGCACACTTGGCTGACATTACCGTGTCGTATGATAGAATAATAAAAGTGTAATATTATTGCGAAATATGTAATATAATTAAATCAAATCCCCATATTACGTAACGTTGTAAATTAAATCGTATTACACGTTACGTTAGAAATTAAATCATATTTATATGTAATTTGTGAGTAGTGGGATTTATCTCACCCGAGATACACCGTGTGACTCTGAGTGTGACTCCACGGGTCAATGTATTACGAGATTGGAGAATCGTTTGCTATTCTATATATAAGTCGTGACTTCTTGAACCTCGTTACTTTACGAAAGGACGCGTTTACCTGTGCAGGTGCAGCTGCTGTAGTAACGTCCGCGGGCGGGCACGGCTTCGACGCACACTTACGCGGCCCCGGCTTCGTGCTGGAGCCGCCGTCGAGGATCGAATTCTCGAATTCTAGCGGCGCCTGGTTGGACTGCACGGCCTCCGGAAGTCCACCGCCCAATATCGACTGGTCCACCGCTGACGGGCATCCGGTGAACGATGTGTCGGGCGTGCGGAGAGTACTCAGAAACGGCACCCTGGTGCTTTTGCCGTTTCCGGCCGCGGCCTATCGGCAGGACGTACATAGCGCCGCGTACAGGTGCGTCGCCAGCAACTCCGTCGGCAGGGTGCTCAGCCGCGACGTGCAGGTCAGAGCAGGTGAGCGAAACTCGCGTCGATGCGCGAAAGAAACATCTGTTTCCACGTGTTTTCACGAAGATTAATGATGAAACGGCCGTCTTTTATTCTGAGGTAAAGATATCTAAAAAATAAAATATTTATTTGTAGTTGCTACACATTTATATGTACAATAACACATTTATTTAAATCTCTAAATTTTTTTAATTTAGATGAAACCATCGATTACTTTTATGATAAGTTACAAATTTGAGAAAATGTATATTTTCTTATTTTAGAAAAATTTTTTCTCAGTATAAAATCATTTATATTAATATAAGAAAGAAATATATATATATATTATTAATACCTTCCCCTCACCGAATAAATATTTTTCATCTTTTAGATATTTTTTCTCTTTATAATGAAGACATACGATTCTGTCAAAACGTTGACAATGTCGTAAACAAGGACGACGACTATCTGTGTGATAAATAATCCGTTTCTAATGCAAATGCAAGAAATAAAATCTAGAATCGATTAGCGCTAATAAGTATCAATAAATTAAATTTACAAAGTGAAATTTGCAGTTAATTAAATATACAAAATTGAACTCGAGAACTGAACTTCCGACCCAGTAGTTGCACTTAGACTGCAGCGAGAGAATGACCGATCATATGTGAAATGTATAACCCAAATACTGTCATAGAACGAAGACTAGAAATTGATAGCCGAGCGGAACGCGCGTCGCAGGTCGTTTCGCCCTCGCCGAGTCGCTTATTTGTTGCGCGAGCCCCGTCATCGGCCGTTTTACCGGGGCGAGGTCGTTCGCGAGATAACGTTGTTTGGCTGCAACTTTGTTACCGGCGCGCGAGAGCGCGAAAGCCCCCGCTGCAATTACATCCTTTATTTACCGAGGTATCCTTTAATTAAGGAGCGGCGAAAGCGTAATCGGCACGGCCGTCATATTAGAGTATCGCACGCGGACCGCCACGGGCCATTGGAAAAGTCTATTAAGCGGATTACGCGAATGCCGCGGATATTTGGCGCGAGTCAACAGTAATTGCGACGGGCGCTCCCGCGCGCGATAAAACGCCGAATCGCGGGTAGGCCGGTTTCACGCGCGCCGCAATCGGACCACGAGCGTTCCTACCGCATACAGACGCCGGGCCGTCCAGGACCGCAGACCGTTACAGTGGCTTCACGCATCAGAAGAGCGCCGCAATATACCGCGTGTGACCTCCGTTCACCCTCGTCTGAGAAATAATAAGCGGTGCGTCTCGATATAAATTCACTCGCCGGGGATGGAGCGAGGTGGATTTCCGGTGAGTGCCGCCGACGAATCGCAGTCTGTCTAATAAGAGCGTGACCGGGCGAACTTCCGGTTTGAAAACCGACACATCGAGAACTTTTATTGAACGAGCAAGTTGAAGTCGTCTTTGCTGACAGTCGAAAGAAGAAAATAACGCGAAAGCATCAGACTGAACGTAACGTTGATGCAAGTCTTATTGAAAGTGTCTGAAGATTAATGAAGAATTGTGTGGATTAAAGTATGCACGGTGAAACGACTATCTCGATTAGCTCGACATGTTGATCTTCACCTCGATAGTATGTTGCAACGTTGGTACAGAGTATGTCAGGTAATAATTGAGGACGACGGTAATTGGATAACTTGTCGATATAAAAGTGTTATAATACTGTCTAAGTTATTGAATATTACACACACGTAATTTCCTTGATTTCTTTTATAATAAGAAGCTTAGAAGTTATGTCGGTCGTTCTCTTATCAGACAGATGGTAAATACGCTCGTTGTCGCGCTTCCTTTCGCATCGTTTCCCGCGAAAGTCGCCGGGAAAATTCGCGAGGAAACGCAGCCCCCGAATTGCCAGCCGGGGGTCGCGGCTGCATTTCCGCGTTCCTCCCTTTTCCGCGAAACCGCGCGCGTCGCCGTCTCGGGGATTACCGGAATCTCTCTCCGGCAGACAATTACCGCGCAGCCTCTTTCGACGAGATCGAATGTGATATTTTCCACAGCTGTTTTCCTTCCTCCCTCCGTCTCTCGAGTCATTTCGTTAGCCCGGTGTTCCTCGCGGGAAAAACATCCCCGCCAGTGGCGATTTTCACACGCGATCGAAGCGCCGGCTCGCGAGAGCTCGCGTGAAACGGGCGTTAGATCGGAACGAAGCTCGGCCGGAGAGAACGCCGAGCGATGCAGATGAGGTGCGCGCAGGTACCCTTCCGGTCGCGCGCAGAGCCCGGTGTAATTACCTCTTTAAAAAAAACGCAATCTGAATGCAAATCCGTGGCAGCTGCGAGGTCGACCCGGCGCTTTCGGTATTTCCACCTACCGCTATCCCTCCCCCCGCGCCCCCTTCACCCGCTCGCGGCCATAAAGCTCTGGCCCGGACGTGTGACCGTTAATTAAAACTTTACTTCCTGCTTTCGGTTTAACGAACACAAAAAAATGTCCATCCCGTGCGGCCTCGATGGAGCGGATGTGCTTTTCGCGGGCGATTTCGCGCTAAAAGTCGCGGCCGCGGTAATCTCGAGCGGGGAAAAGTCCGCTCGTTGCGCGGAAGGGGGGCCTCCGGGAATTCCGCGGAAAAGGCACTGTCGTAACACCCGAATAATAAACGTTGCGAGAAAATCGGCGCTCCGAGAGAAAGAGGAGACGCGTAAACGCTCGCCGCGCGGAGTTGTAAATTTCGTTACTCGCATATCGCGAGATACGCTATCGATCCCTGAAGCTATTTCCACGGTGTCCCGGGCGCGCGGAAAATCTTCCCGCCGAGTATCGTTGTGCCGCGATCCGACGCGAATTTTCTCGCGAGACGCGAGAGAACGGAACGACGGCGGCGAGGCGAGAGGCAGCCGGAAGGAAGCCGGCGAAAGAAACGGCGAATCGGCGAGTTGAAAAGAGAAAACCTCGAGACAAAGTCCTCGCGGGGGTTCGATAGAGGCGTGAAGAAATTCAGCGCCGGGAAGACTAGGGGATGGTTTACGCGGCGCGACGTCGCCACTTCGTCGTCGTCGTCGTCGTCGGTGGCGGCCTGTCAGACTACACCGTCGGTGGCAGCTGGCCGTCGCGTCGCCCTTGGAATTTCCACGTAAATAAAATCTCCGAAAGTGCACGGTGCCTCTCGAACGCGAGAGGACGACGGCGGGCGTAAAAAGGAGAAAGAAGCGACGGAAGAAGAGGATGAGGAGGAAGAACGGAAAGAAGGAGAGAGAGAGAGAGAGAGAGAGAGAGAAAGGAAAAAAGCGAGGTGGCAGACGCGCTGAGGACGACGACGACGACGACGACGACGACAACAACGACGACGACGACAACGACGCCGAAGCGTTCGTTACGCTCGCGTCGTCTCACGCCTCGGCGCATCCCCGACGCCGACGTCGAGATTCACCCGGTCACAGCGGCGTAACGACGTGCACGACACCCCCTGTGTATGCACAGTGTCGTCGTGTACGTGTATATCCGTGTATGCGAGGCGAGGAGCGGCGAGGCGAGACGACGATGCGACGGCAGCCTCGCGTAGCTCTCAGTGCGGCAAGACGGCGATGTAATTGAAAACGAGACTCGGAGTAACTGCGATCGCTTTTTCATTACGCCGGCAATTAAAAGACACGCAGACACGCGGAACCGTGCGTTGTTTGCCGTTGTTGCATCCACCGAGTGCAAACTGCACCGTGAGACGTCGGCTCGACTAATGGCGACTTGTAATTTCCTTTGCTTCATCTACTATTTTCCCTCTCTCTCTCTCTTTCTCTCTTCGTTTGGTTTCAAGCATGCGACGTATGAGACGCGATATGGTACGACTTCAAAAAAAGTGAATAAATGGATAGTTGGGGGAGATTAATTTGCGATCGAGCCGATCTCGTCGAGCAGGGATTACGCGCGACCGCTGAGAACTTTGGTGAGAGCCTTTGCCTTCGAGAGGATGATGTTGCTTGCGGTGGTATCGTTTTCGTGGAGTATCGATTTTCTGTTAAGAGGTAACGGAGGAAACGAATCGAATGAGATTATGGGGAGGGGGGGGG